ATTGCGTGAAATTACAGACGTACCTGTTCATTTTTTTACTATGAAATGGTAGAACTTGCACTCAACAAGATAGAATAAACCAACAAGATAGAATAAACCAACAAGATAAGAGATTAAAATGCTGTAACATACAAGAAGCCCATTTCATGCCATTTTTATCTGGTGTTACATACTATGCTGGATGGTGCTGTATGTAAGTATGTAAGGCTGGATGCCGTGCAGTGTGCCTAGCTGTTGTTATCTGCCCAATAAATTAAGATAAAGGTTCAGCGCTGGTCTCAGATATGATAGGTTAGTCAAGGGCCTTTTAGTTTTCACTGTTCTCTCACAGTCATTTTAACTCTTAGTAGAAAAGACTCAGAGGAGCTGCAGCTATGCCTAAGCAGCAAAAATTGTAAGCTTGGTTGTAAATGAAGTGTGGGATTCACTGTCAATACAAGCTGCCCAAAACATAATGAGAGCATTTAATATTTTATGATTTTTTCCAATGTTCTACTAGAGATTAAGCACTGGAATGAGTCTTAAGTGAGAGCAACCTACCAGATGAAGAGCATAATGAATGTCTTTCATAAAAATTAATATTTAAGCAGTGTAGTTAGTTGTATTATAATTGTTCCACCTCACTACAATCATGATGTTTCACTTTTATTTCCCCTAGTATGATTCTGATCTGAATATTATATGCATAAGCCCCACTGAATAGGAATCATCTCTTAGAAATGCATCTTTTTGGGATGGTTACTCCAACCTCATTTTGAAGATGTTCCTTCAAGTCCTTCCCCACTTCACTAAAGAAAAAAATCTCATTTACTGTGTGTGGCCATGCGGATCCAAACATACACACACACATACACACTTATTGATAGGCTGCAGAAACACTGATACAAATTTTGGGCAGGCTGGACTTTTAGCTGGGAGCTAAATCAATATTTAAGGTAATCTGGGAATATTCAGCAGGAAATTCAGTTAGCAGAACTTTCCATATGAATATCAGCTCCCTTAGCAAAACTTTTGCAGTCAGTTTTTTAATCAGCAGCATATTTAACCTTCTGAAGTATCGTATTAATTGTTTTTTGAGGACCATCTTGTTGAAACAATTTTTGCAGTTAGAGATCAAACTCACTCAGTGCTTAAGTCAGGAGGCAACTCTCAAATCTGTGCACAACAGATGAACTGTCCCTGTATGCAGGAGAGGATACAGTGTGGGACACCTTTCTCATTGGTGTGGATGGCCAGATGTTCTGACTGCCAGAAGAAATACAGTGGCACAGCACCTTTGGATACTGAGTGTATCCACATATTGTGGATGTACTCATATATTGAGTGAGATATAACATTTTGAGTGCAGGAGTACACTGGACACTAAATCTGCCCAGTGCTGATCAGCAAGGTAAATTGTGAGAGATGGATGAAGAAGGCAGAACAGAATAATTTTTGGATGAAGCTGGTGTTCCAGCTTCCTTTCATTCACATGAAATAATCAAAGCAATTTTTTTTTGAGGGAAGATAGAGCAGGATTTTGCTGTCTTGGAGCTAGTTAATTTTGAAACCCTTCTATTGCACTTGATCCCCACTTACTAGAAGCATGCTGCATATCCTTGAAACCTCTCTTATACTGGCTTGTCTACACTTTCAAGATTTCAATGTAATTTAAAGGATTACAATATTCTTCTGTATTAGCACATGAATTTTTTGTTTGGTGAACACAGAAGTAGACGGGGAGAGGAACACACAAGTGGAACACTTAAATTAACTGAAACACGTCTGAAAATATATAGGGCAGTTAAGACAAAAAAAACCAAACAAAAAAACAACAAAAATCCCAAAAATCTACCAGTTTAAGCTGTTCTTCTTGAGAAATCATTACTGCAATGAAATCTCTGCAAACACTAATCCTCAGTAGATGGCATTTTATTTAATTTAATTGATTTTCTTTATTGCAGTCAAGTATATGAAATATTGAAAATCTTCTATTGTACATGTATAAATACCTTAAGAATCTTTTTTAATATGCACACCAATTAGCTTCTTAACAAATTCAGGCTAGAGAATCGTACTTTGAGATACTATTCCAGCTATTTGCACAACTAAGCACCTCAACCCATTTATCAGAAAAGGGGCAGGATTATTAGCACAGATGTTTACATTTATAATACTCCTACTGTCATGGTTATGTGGAGTTTGCTTTTATTGTCATTGAAGAGCAGTGACACTGCTGTAGCAAGGCATCAGAGAAACCAGCAAAATCTAGGTCTCATTAGAGCATTTTCCAGTTTTACCTCTTAACTGATGTGCTGCCAAGGCTTTTTCTATGTTGACAATGGTGTTGACTTGACCAAGGCAGCATCATAAAATCTGTGGGCCCCTACAAGGCAAGAGTAACGTTTCATAAAGTCGTCCTTATGAGATATTCTTTGGCTTCTCCATAAATTTCATTACTTTCTACTGCAAAGCATTCAGAGACTTTCAGCTCCCCATGGCCTCAGTGAAGGATAAGACTTTCTCAGCTCTTGGATGGATTATGCTCATGTGGACCCTGCAGTCAGGAAACTCCTCTGCTTCACTAGTGCATTTAATTGCCCCCAGCCTTAGTTTTCACTCTCTGCCATGAATACAGTCCCTTAAATGCACTTGACAGCAGGCACCGTGAAAAGCCTTTTTTATTCCCATGCATTAAAAGTGACTGAGTAACACATGATTGGAAGAATGAAGCATTACCCATGTGTGAACAGTGAGGAGATATACAGCAAAAAGCAAGAGTGAATTTTGGGACAGATTGAAAGAGATGTGTGATGAAGATAAGTAGTGCCAAGAGAGAACAGAGGGGGGAAGTTAAAGGACGTGATAGACTCTCCATAAAAAACACTCAATGGAAACTAAAGGAGCTAAAAGATGAGAAAATAGTGACCATCTGCAGCCATCCAGGGAATACCAAAATGGCAGCTTCAGACCTCCCTATAGGTAGGACACCTAGGATGAATGGAGGATAGATGCAGCAATTTTAAAATGAATTAATTATTGATTTATGAAATTGTATTTATGAAGCGGCTGGTAAAGCATTTAATTAGATTCTTGCCTTGTAAAGGCTAATATACTCAATTTTAGCCAAGAACTTTCTTGCTCTCTCTTATTTTATCTAAGGTAGATGACAGCCTGAAAGCATGCTAAGTAAATAAAATAGGAAGAGTTGTTTTTATAATGGTAATTACTTATCTGCTAGACCAGATCAACTTAGAAGTCACTAAATAGTAGAAATAAATTCTTGTTGGGCTCAGGTTTAACACTTCAAATCTGACTCTTCCACCTGAATTCATACAGGATGTAATTTTGGACTTGAACTAACTGCTTTTACATCCACAAGTCCTTCAGCTCATGTTTCACTGAATAGTTCTTACTGTCTGGTCATAATAACAATATTATTAATAACCATCCTTTTCATCTAAAGTATTAAAGTTGTATTTTCATGTCAAATTATCTTATTTCATTGAAGAACTAAGATTTAAAATTACTTATGTAACATGGGTCTTAATTTTTTATTGTTTCTACAGGTTTTATTTTTATTATTATTTGTACTTATTATATGGAGTCAAATCCTCAGCAAATGCAAACTGCTGTGGGTCCAGGGAAGCTATGAAGGTGAATCTGTTTAAACCACCTAAATATCTGGCCTTTATTTCTGCATTTTAACATCATTTACTTCACTGACGTACATGAGCTGAGAAACACAATGACACACACACAAAACACAAGGCTGATGTGCTTCAACAGAATCATTCTCAAGTATTACATACATGTAGCTGTGGCTCTGAATCCAGCCATGCCCCTGCTTCTATTTAAAATCTCAGGATTTTCTGTCTTTGGTATAATCTACCACACTAGCAACAACAAAGCTTGATGAAGAGCCTAACAAAAAAATAATAGATTTTAAAAAAACACACAAAGAACCACCATTCCATGAATCCCAAAATAATTTTATGGCACTCTGTGTTTATTTTGGCAGCCATATCCATTAGCATTTTGGGGGATGAGGAACTTAAGTTTCAACAGATGCCCTGAAAAGCAAGGAAACCAAGGGATTATTTGAATTTGAAGAATAGCAACAGGACATGGTTGTACTAAGTAGTCACCAGAGTGACTTATTACTAAGTGACTTGCAAGGTACACATACCCTTAGAGTATTACAAGAGACAGAGGTATCAGAGGACCACTTATCTTGGTGTCATGGATGCCACCCCAGACCACCCTCAACAGCTCTTCTAAGCATACCTCCAAACTAAAATGGGGCAATGTCAGGCAGCATCCCCCTTCATCTGGGTGAAAAGTCATTTTTAGTCTGTTTTCATGCTGTAGTTAATCCTCTTTACTCAGACATGCATCATTTGCCCTCTGAGTTACATGGTACGCCTGACCTTGCTAATGTCAGAACAGGTCCCCAAGTGCAAGACTACAATTCAGGTAGTATCTCTGATATTCCAAAAGCAGTTCCAAGGATTAAAGGCAAAGGATTGCCTTCCTGGGGCCCAAGAGACAGGACAAATCCATTTTACTTTTTATATCTGAAACCAGAACTGACATAAGGGATCTGCTACAATTAATATATTGTATTATGACTATGTCATACTACTCTGAGTGACATGGTAATATCCACACGTAGGTAGAGTGTCTGGAGAAATACACCTGCAGCATGCTCTGACTATGAAAATGAGTTTTTGCAGGTTTGATCATATGATGAATCTTACCATGATTCTTTATGGTCCCATCAAATAGAGAAAGCAGGATCATGTTTATATTACATCTGTATAACTCATTTTATTCCAGCTTTATTAATACTGTGGTAGCATATCTTTAATTCTTTTGCTTGCTGTTACCTAGTAATACCAGTTTCCATAATGATAAATTCAGAACAACAAACCACTTCTAAGCTTTTAGAAGATAAATTCAGAGAAGCAGGTACAAAGCCTAGCACTCATTTTTTCCCCAATTGTTGTCTATGTTTTCAGGTAACCCAGCTAAAAGAATGCACTTCGATTTACAATTCAAGACCAGACTCGATCATGTAAGTTTAAAAATTGGAGTCTATTATATTACTGTGTGCACAGATCTGTGTATTACAGTGTGTACAAAACATGCAATTTTTTGGCAGTTTTCCAGCACAGACCTTGATGCCACTTTTTGGAAGCCTGCTGTGTGAACATTTCAGAGCCCAGGAGACAGCTGTGAGCACGGATCCACTGTCACCTATGGAGTCACCTGCTGAGCTTTATCCCAAAATAAAACATCCTACTAGGGAGCATCATCACCGATGTGTAGGCAGCACTTGCCTGATTGCTTTTCACTATTTCTAGTGTTTTGTTATCATTTTCATTTGGGAGAGTGCTTGGAGCAGTTCCGGTGGTACAGGAGGAGGCGCAGGAGCGAGACCATCCCTCCAGAGTAATCCCTGCTGCTTGCTGAATAGATACCTGAAGGCAACATCACTTGGCTATTTCTGGCCTGCAGTAGATTGCTACTTGCAAACCTTTTTATGCTGTTATTCATCTCCTGAGCCATCTGGCCCCTGTTGCAGGATACCTGCAGATGGATTAATAGACCAATCTAATAGAGCTGTACATATTAAATATACAGCAGAAGCAGCTGTTGGGTGTTTGTTGTGAGCTTTCTATTTTTCCCTGATGTTTCAGCCACTGTAATTTAAAGTTCTAAGTCAGTTCTTCAAGGAAAGGAACTGTTTTTACCTCAACTATCCAAAAACCAAAATAAATTTATCTCTCATAAAAGAAGCCTGTCATTGAAAAGCAAGTTATAATCAGCATAAATATAATTTTCTCCTTGGAGTAGAAACTTTCACTTCAGCCTTTGAATAGCATTGTCAGTTCATCTTATTAAAATATACCCCCCTGACAGCTCTCATATTAATTGCACCAGATTGCCTGCAGTGTGTTCATTTGTTTGTTTGTTTACTCTTAGCTAAGAATGACTTTCAGAAAACTTTACTTCCTTGCACAAGTGGGGTCAGAGGGAAACCAAACCTATCTTAAAAGCCTTCAGATTGTAGATTATTTATTTTAATGATCCAACTAGTGCTCTTTGGGATAGTCCTTATAAATTTCTCAAAGTGGGCCTATAGATGTTGGTATTTAAAACAACAGACAAGAAATATGTCTATACACACATAATGAGAATAAAAAACCCAAAATAGTATCCTTGGGACCTTAGGATGCCTCTGAAAAATACCTGAGGGGAAAAAATTTAAAGATTAAGACAAAAGTACACATGTGGGATCAAAAAAACCCCAAAAAAACAAAAAGAAGAGAATTGCTAACACCACCAATTAAAGGCTGCAGAGCTGAAATCCAAGTATGTTAGTTGCAGGAATTCAGGGTAGAAAATAAAAACCCCAGTGGTGGGGTGGAAAATAAAAACTATCTGTGGCAAAAAAACCCCAACAAAAAAACAAAGAGACCTCTCCCACACCCCCAAACAAAGGCTAAAATGTTACTTGAGGCAAGGAGTAAGAATTTGAAGGTATTTAAATAAAAAAAATTACCCCCTGCCTTTATAAGCTCAGTTGCTCTTCTTAAAGATCACAGAACATGAACCTGCAGTTTTAAACACTTGCAGAAGTTTCTCTACTGGGCTATACAAAAATCCTAGGGGAAAAAAACCCCTTAAACTACTCAGACTGGACAAATTTATTTTTGACTAAAGCCCATGGAATGTCACAAGAAACTTGTTGATGAGTTGTGGAGTAAATAGCAATAATTCTACATATTCAAGGAGATATCCAAGGAGAACCCTGCTATTGAAGACATTAGTGTTCAGGCTTTGAACATGCCCTACAAATTTTCAAGGTGAAAACCAACACTATATCTGAGTTCTGAATTTCTTTTTCTCTTTTCAAGCACCTTTAAGTTAAATTAATCAGAACTCCACACTGTGATCATCAGAAGCATCATACAGAGAAGATTATGTAGGCTCAGTCCAATCCCCTTTGACTTCAGATGCTGCAGTGCAGAATAAGAAGCCGTGTTATTTGCCCACCACTCCACGTTCCTCTGAAAACATCTTAGCCCAATTAGTAGTTTTCTGAAAACCTTTTTATTCCTTCTTCTTCCCTGTGCATGTCCTGCTGTTCCTCAGAAGGATGTGCTCAATGTGGTTCCCATTACTCAAGTATATTTTGCCTTCTCTGTCTAGTGAGTCCAGACTGCTACAAACCATCCTCATAACTGGTCAGATTTATGGGGACCCAAGCCTCATCTCCATCTGTTTCAGTGACTGCACTTAAGAGGGTCAAGTTGGATGTGAGCCATTATCCCAGAGGTGGAAAACCAAGGCTTTACACACTAAATCTATGGTTATCTTTGTCTCAATACAGTGGACAAAAGGATACAAGCCAGAGAACAGTAAAAATTCTTCACTAGAGATGCATAGGAGGCTCTTTGGCAGGTGAATTGCACTTTTGACACCTGTCAGTAATATACATGGCCATCTAGTGAAATGAGCTTATATTTTTCTCAAAGGAGTAAAGGATTTCAAACTCCCTTCTGAAGTACAAGGATTAAGTGAAAAAGTAAAACCCATAGCATAATTTGTAGGTATATTAAAAAAGACATGAGTGACATAAAGGATTGCCTCTCTTCTCTTGAGACAGGTACAAGGATACACCTTTAACTGAACCATAAAGTTGCTACAAAATTTATTTTTCTTAGTCTAAACCACTGTAGAATAGTCTGCCCAGCTCTGGGGAAAAAAGAGGCACAGAAAGAGCCATAGATGGATACTGACAGGAGCATACCCTCCACTGCATGCAGATGTTCCTCCCTACCTGCATGCAGCAAGACCTTAAGCACTCCTTGGTAATGAAATACGGATTTGTTGTTTCCCAGTCAGTGTAGAAAAGCATTATTGTCTCTGATTTGTAGAGAGAAGTTGTGGGGCTGCAGTAGGTAAGGTGATTTGTTCAGGCTCATCAACTTACCACAGGCTGAACCTCAGAGAGGAGGAGAGTGCTCCTTTCCTCACAGGCTATGGCACACAGGCTTCTGCAACACAGCTGCCCCAGTCAACAAGTGTTCTGCAGGAAGGAAAAAGAGGCCAAAAGGCCACTGGACAAAGAAATCAATCAATCCCCTTTCAGATCTCACAGCTAGAGAACTGTTGGATTTCATGCTCTTTTTTTCCATGCAAGAATGACTTACATGCACTGGAACTCATTAACAATGATTGGGTTAAGTCAATTTGTTATCCAATTAATGTTTAAGTAACAGTACCTTAAAAATTAAAATACATCCTGCTACTCCAGTGCAACTTCAGAAAACAGCCTGAAGTGACTTGCTCCTCCCCAGCAGTGCTGCTAGAGTTGGATGCAAACACTTTGCTGAGCAAGGTACAATTACCTTTCTGTTCTTAGTGATGCAGGGAATATGAGAAGACAGATCATTTGCAGTGTTTCCAAGGTCATGCCAGAAAATTAGGGGTAGTCTGTGCTGGATAGGGCACATTGAGGAAGTGTCTCCTTAATGTGGCATATTACAGCAGTGTTTAATATTTGATTGAACTGAATATTGTTATTATTCCCTGGATCAAGTTTCCTTTCTACTGGAAGTTGCATATTATACATTGCTGTGAAATGTTTCAAGGAAGCTAAGCAGTATAATTAAGCAAGTGAAATATAACTTCCATTCATCTTAAAATACATCCTGCTATCAATTCATTGATCCAAATTTTCTGAAAAATGTTGATGTTTGCCAAAACAGTGATGTCCTGTTATTGTCATTCAACTACTCCAAAGCACTTTTACACAGAAGACAAAGATCCCTCTCTCTAGTCAGGGAATCCCTGAGAAACCTAAAGATAGCAACTTCCCTACGATCATACTCTTCCAAACTGAAGGAAATTTTGGAATGTAAGGAATTGTATTAGTTTAAAGTTATGAACTATTTTTTTTTTCCTTTTTGGGATTCTGATACAGCTTAAAAAGTCCTTCAAAACCCTTGAAAATCATGGCCAAAGCCAGTGTTACAGTAACCTAGAGACACTAGAGTGTAGTTTTTGAACTTCTTGCCAGAAGCAAATATCAATTTTGAAATCTGGATTGTTACTAAGGGACTTGCTCCCACAGAACCATATGTTACACAGCACTTGCATTTCTGCTGATAACTTAAGGTTTCTTCCCTCTTTTTCTCCATGAAAGGTTGAGCACTGCACAGCAGAAGAGCAGATGCAAGTCCCTTTCACATGCTCACAATTTCAGCCTGGGACTTCTCTATCAGGTCTGTGTAAAGAGCAGTCTGGCTTTGAGTCACAGTCTGAATGTGACAAAACTCTCTGGAGAAAAGTTATTGCCTCTGACCCCGAAACCTGTCTTTCACCAGATTTGTGTCATGTGAAATCCAAGCAACAAAAACCAGCATAGCATATTCTGAGTAATTGTTAACCTTAATTTAACAGCTCATCTGTACTAATTTTCATTGTTCCCCTTCACAAGATTACAATGCAAGCAGTTAGTGCAATCTTATCCTGCCCTTATATGTGCTGAATTCCTGTCCTATGAGTAAAATTTAAAAAAATCCACTTCATTGTTTTTTTTTTGAAACAGGTATAAATACCACCACTCTAGTACAGTCCATTCCAATATACATAATTGTACCAAAATCAAATTCTTTATCCTCACTCCTGTGTTTAATGTTAGTGATGTATTTGCCATAGTTCTGATAATATTGACCAGAAAAAATACATTAACATTTAAAATTGATTTTAAAAGACACTTCCAGGTTCAAGCACCTCTGAATATTTCAGGTAATAGTGAACTGCATTGGATTTAGGCATTCTTTCTTGTGCACAGCACTAAAGTTAATATTTCTCACCATCAGTGCCATGCAGCTCAAAACCTAAACAGAGATATCATTAGATCATTTAGACAACAGTTTCCTTTTATAATACTTTCAGATGCATGGCTGGAAAGTACATTAAGTATGAGCACTACATTTCTTTATCATTGAGGAAATAGAGGCCAATATATGGGCCTAAGCTCACTTAGACCTGTGTTCAAAGTGTTACATAGCTCTGTTATGCCATAATCCATCAGCATTATCTTCCTCTGAAGCAGCATTTTCTATTTCAAGTTTCATAATGTTCTTGCACTAAAGTCACTCACAGTTAGCACCGAAGCTAAAGAGGTTTGCCTCTTTCTTTGTTACTGTGCTTCACGACAGGAAAGATCACCTATTACAGAAAAAGTAAATCCTGAAATACATACAGGGAGTTTATTTTTGTGCCTTATCTGATATGCTATCAGTGAACACCTCGGAAGGGGTTTTTTCCCTCATCAGTCATCTTGAAAACCAAGCACAGCGAGAAGGACAGATGGCTGTGTGTGTGTATATCTGCATTTTTGTTAAAGTGTGTGGGGGTTAATGGATAGCAAAGGAGTGGAAAGGGAAAGGACATGGCTTGTCTCCTGGTCTTTGATTTGAGCCTTGTTCATCCAATGGATCAGTGGCCCCCAGCAAGCAGCCGCAGGCAGCACACGCTCTGCAGGCGCCGGCTCAGCGGGGCTGCTGAGCTGCTCGCCTTTGTCTGGTCACTCACCCCATGGGCTGAACACCTACTGCCACTCATTCTCATTCCTCTCATTTAAACAAGTGTTTTTATTACAGATACAAGCATAATTATAAATAAATATTCTCTCGCACAGGCACATTCCCACAGGGAAGGAGACCAGCGGGACTGAACTCATCCTTGATGCAAGTCTGCTTACTTCAAAGCATTAGTGCCATAGGTAAAAGCTCACACAGGTAAAAGGGGCCTCTCCATCTTTGGCAAGCTCATTCAGGAGAACAGAAAAATCCCAGTCTAAACTAGAGATCTTCTGTGTCTTTTACAAGTTATCATTGTCTGTTTAGCCACAGTGGCAAGGAGAAACAAAACTATATTTGGGATGATCTGGAGAATATAAGTCCACAACCTGTTTACACTTTGAGGGAGAATTACTAAACTCACCA